GGCAATCTATCTTTCTCACTTTGCTTTTGAAAATAAAGTAATTGAAAGATTTTGATAGAGCAAAGATAGACACTATCCAGTTTGGAAGCAGAGGAGAAGACAAGACACATGAGAGAATGGTTAATGATTAAAAAGCAGTAGTTAGAGTTTTCCTTTTAACAATAAAGGGAGGGCATACACCTTCAGCAGAGCAAGAGTGAGGGTACCACGTCCCCTACCCAAGGATAGCACCAAAACTGTGAAGCGGCTTCCAGGGCTTATGAGGTCTGAGATAATAGTGTTATCAGCAGTGGCCACAACACTGGATCTTCCCCAATACTGTGAATTGTCTAAGACCACAGAAGCCCTGTAAGGACCTTGGCTGATGATTGGGGATGATAGTGAGAGACAGAAAATCAAATCCCAATAACGATTGCTAGTAAGTTTTCTATCAGAGTTAGATTTAATTTTATTTTTGAAAGCAAACACATCAAAGTTAATGGCATATTTTCTTAACCTTGGAACAGGAGGGCATATATTAATCACACAAAAAGGAAATTCAACGGAAATGATAAAAACAATTGAGATGCATAAAGCATCCACAAATCTATCAGCATTTTAAATTCAGTTCTTTCAATTAGAGTTGCAAACAACTGTTGAAATTAACAAATTCAAGTTTGTTCCCCATTGCTCTTTCCTCTTTCTGGTGAATGTTTTAATGGGCCATAGGTTAGGCAAGGAGGAAAACCAAGTCGAAAACAAATTGGCAACAGAACAAGAAAATCAGCAGATTGGCAAAGCACTGTTGACGTTATTGGGAGGAAACTGCTGTTAAGATGCTTTAATGCTATTACTAGAATTTCAGTGGGGCCAAGTGACAGTTTTGTCATTGCGCTACCTCTGAATGACATTGAGTCTTTGTCTTCTGAATTAAGGATCCTTTTTACAAGATATTATTTTAAGTAACTTTATCTCCTGTTCCTCTGATGTAACTTGTTCAACATGATACAAGAAATTCTGACATTGGAGAAGAATGCTTTGGTACTTTGGACAGATGTCAAGGTGGCATGACCTGCCATTAAGGAACTCAGACTGCTCAGGTCAGCAGAAACAAAGATTATTTTTGGCTAAACTTTTTTTTTTTAACAGTGATTGAATTCACGACCTCATACTTGCCAGGCACTTATGCCACGGAACTAAATCCCTGGCCCTGGCTAAACTTTTTAAGAAAGTGCTACAGACATGTTATTTTTATTTCACTTTAGCAGCCAAGAGGAGAAAAAAAGACTAAGAAAAAAGCTACCAATGCCCATATGAAAAATTTTTCGTGTTCTTATGTTGAAATGTAAATATAATCTCTGTTCATTCTTAGATATGTATGCTCCATTTCAATGGGTTTTCCTTCGAGTAAGAAAATATCTGAATTAAAGATTAATGTTTGGTGTTAGTCACTTTTCATATACTTCCTCATCTACTAAGGTCATTGCACAGTTTATACAGAAAAAAAATAAAACCTACAGGAAATGTTAGTTTTTGAAAGAGACATAGTTTTCTTGGTGACTGGATATATTTATAATAAATCATTTCTAAGATGCATTTAAAAGTAATTACTCTTATTAAGTCATTTGCAAGAAAACAACATCATGACCCATCTATAACTAAGTTAAATATCTAATTTATGTCTGGGGACCACATCATCATTATTTTCAGTAATATCCATGGTATGTAAGAACTTAATAGGAATATTTATGGGCCAAATAAAGATGTTTATCGAAGCCTTTCTTAATTAATACTTCTCTGTGTGCAGCAATGCAAACTATTTAATTTTAGATATTTTAAGGAAAAGACATTTCTAGCTGAAATCTTAGCTTCACCAGGGTTACCCTGGACAACTGAGTCTTTTCTGAATTTCTCCCAAACATAGGACTGTGAACATCAATATATTTCTACAGGACTGAAAGACTTTCATGCAAACTGGCCATGAGGAGATAAATCTTGAATATGAAGTAAGGTAGAGAGTAATTCAGCTTACTGCATTCCAGTCTCTAGTGTCCTTAGAATCATTTTTTACTGAACTGAAGTTGAAGATGAACATACAATCTAGCTTGCTAACCCCATTCAGTCTTTGCTCTATCAGCATATAGTGCAGAGTCCTCATTATCCAAGAATAATTGGTTCTAGGAAAGATCTTCTTAACAATGAGTCTGCACAAAATGGCAACCAATATTTAATAATAAATAGAAAATAAAAAAAAATTTCATTAGGATCTTATCTTGAAGTGAAGCTAAAGTTATGAAAATTTATTTTGCATTTAAAGTTTTAGGCCACAATTGCATCTCCTGTGATCATTCTTAGGATGAAACAGGAGTTAAATATTAATTGATTTTTCAGGGGGTATAATTTTTCCAACAAATTTAGCTGATAGTACAGCTTGACATTTTTCACATTTGACTTTCATTGCAAACTAGAACGGGACTCATTTTTCTTTGCAAATATATTCAAGGGTTTTCTCATATTTTTCAAGGTCTTCTCTTAATCCTTTTATATTAAAATCATTCTTTTTCAAGTTTCATCATTCTTGTCAAATTTCTCTTCTTCAGCTGTCAACTGATTTAACCTGCCAGATCCTTGTCTGACAGTGGCTTTCTGAGTGAATGGTGCAGTCCTTTTTATTCTTTACAGTGACTTTATGAAGTCCTACATACGTGGCAAGATATGCAATTTTTCTTTTGAATTGATTTATATTGTATTATAGACTTTTCAAAGGTAAAATCATCACCAGTATTCAAATAAACAAATATTTTGAAGCATGGCTGAAGACTGTTTAAGTGAGAACTCTTGTAAATGAGGCTAGTTTCTTGCTAGAATTTTTCAGCTAACATTTCAGCTAAAATGTTATAGTTTAAACAGCATGTGTCCCCAAAGACTCATGTATTTGGTGTTGATCACGAATAAGGCCTAGAGAATTGACTAGGTCATGAAGGCTTTAAGTTCATTAGTGGATTAATCCACTGTTATGATTTAGATTAAGAACAGTCTCCAAATTTTCATGCACTCAGAGGTAGGACTGGTTCATGGGGTGCTATATTGAACAGACTAAATGTGCTGTTAGGAAATGGGCTGGTTTGCAGCAGGTAACTGGGTGTAAACTGAAGGATGTAGCTCTCTGCCTGGCTCTTTCCTTTCTGCTGTCTAGCTGCCATGATGTGAGATGCTTAGTCATCACGCCCTCCTGCTGTGCCATTTATGCTTTGAAGCCAACCAAACTGAGACTCTAAAAGGGAGCCAAAATAAACCTCTGCTCCTTTAAGCTATGTCAGGTATTTTGTGCTAGCAACAAGAAAGTAACTAAGACATCCAGTGCTGAGCTCATAATTTGATGGCATGAATGGAAGGCAGTAGAAACAGAAGATGGGGCCTGGCTGAAGGTAGTGATCATGAGAGTGAAACCTTGGGGACTATATTCAGTCCCTGGCCCCTTACTCTTTGGTCCTTTCACTTTCTTTTTACTTTTTGGCTGCCTTGTGAGCAGCTGTGTTCCCTCACACTCGTCTGTCATTGTGCTTGTTCTCAACTTAGGCCCACAGTGATGGAATCAGCTATGACTTGAAACGTCTGAAACTGTGAGCCCACATAAACCTCTTCTCCTCCAGATTGATTTTAGCAGGTATTTTGTTGTGGTAACAAAAGATGACATATGCAATCATCTTGCAGTCTCATGAGATCATGATTTTTGATGAATGTTTAAATAATGGGAAGGTTGGAGAGGGGAAGAGCAAGATGGCGGATAGATAACAACTGGCTACAGAGGCTCTCTGAGATAGTCAACTTAGAATTCAACATAATACAGAGTGGGGAGCCCCAAACAGAGGGAGATGAATTCTCTCATCCCAAGAAGAAATTAAGGTGACTTACCGACCATCCGAGGTCCTGATGCAGTCCCATGGCAACTTGCAGAGGTCCCGCAGAGGCTTAAAGAGGTTCTGCCGTGACTTGCCAAGCCATCCGAAGTCCTGCCACTTTGACCCACTGGAGGCACAATTACATTGAGTTCCTGGGGTTCATCATGTGCACTTGTTGTTCTTATAGTTGTCCCAACCACAGAGTCACTGCTACTCTATAGTACCTTAGTGGCAGGGCTCCCTAATGTTGTTGGCATCCAAGTTAGTCTTCCTCCCATGAACCCCAGGAACAGCCTTCAACAGATTCATTGGAAGCCAGATTTTATGGGCAGTGCCTGAATGATCATGTAGTGTCCTGGGTAATGATGTAACCAGCAGTAACTACAGTGTAATTGGCCCTATAGGGGTGACATGATCTTGTTGTTTTCATCCAAACAACCATGAGATTGTGAGTAGTACTGCATCGTTCCTTTATTTTTGTGGGGGAAGACAGGAAAATAGTCTGGAATGGAGCAGTTGACAGAGAAGTGTGAAAGATGCTTTCTAGGTCTGGACAGTGGCTGGACTTTACGAGGAATTATCTTCTGGTTAGACTAATTGGACAATAAACAGATATGTGAATACTTTTCTCTACCTATTATTCCGACTCTTCTGATAATCACTGTACCTTGCATGGGCTCATGAATTTTTTCATCTTGTTTCTAATAAAATTGTTTGTATAGGTAGTGACACTGCAAAAATAATTATCCTAGAACTTTCACATCTTAAAGATAGTGCTGGTTAAGAGTTCTGGCTTCAAAGCTAGACTTCTTTTGTTTATACCCTTGAGAAGGTAGCTTAATCTTTCTCATCTCTAATTCTGTCATGTGCAAAATGAGGATGATACATAACAGGTTGCTGTTGAGATTGAATAAGTTGATCTGTGCTAAGCCAGTGTCTGGTCCACAATGTAAACTCAGGAAGTAAGTATCATTCATTGTCATCTATGAGTATTTCCCAAAGATGAATTTCAGGAGCTAGAATGGATAATTCAAAGACTAAATAGTCATGATGCATCTGATGATTTTGTGAACAGCTCTCTTGAAAGTTGGATCACATATTTATTTATTTATCCTTTTTTATTAATACAAGTTTGTCATACATAATGGTAATATTCATCACAGGGAATTTGTACCTGTACATAATACTTCTTTTTTCCTATTTCTCTCTTGTCCTTTCAATGCTTCTTCCTTTCTCTATTCATATATCTTTGTTTCCATCTTTTCCTTTATTTTTTAATTTTTTTATTTTAAAGAGGGTAAAATTAAATAGAACAAAACATCATAAAGAAGCAATTTTAAGAAACATGGATTTCAAAGCAATATTGTCTCTTGTTTTCTTATCTATCTATCATATTGTCTCTTGTTTTCTTCCAAATTGTTGTCCACATCTTCACACACAGTGAATACATACTGAACATTATAGTACTAAATTAACATTGTAGTACTAAATTAATCAGAACAGGATGATGAATGCTTTTTAGGTCTTCAAGACCAAACAATGGGGAATTCAACAATGGCTGCTAATGTCTCTCGTTCTCTTCAAAGTATCTGTCCATATCTTTATGTATGCTGAAATTAAAATAAGGCTATACTAATATCACTCTGAACAGTGAATAGTAGTGTTGCTAGATTTCATATCATAATGCTACATAATTAGCACTGAGTATCTTAGTGTCTCTTCTTCTTCAGAGTATCTGTTCATTACATCGTGCATTATATAGTCTGTTTCCATAACTGTTAACAAATTCTCCACACATGTGAATCTCTACATGTATACCTATCCTTTCTGTATTATAGGGGAAAATAGATCAAAACAAGACAACAAACAAATTCCTAGAAAAACATGAAACGAAAAAGACATATAAAATCACAATATTAGGTGATCTACAGTAGTTACTATGCAGTCTCTTGTTATTTTCAATAGAATTGTCTACATTATCAGACATAATATAATTGAACATAGCATTACAGAGCAATTTTAATAAAAACACAACATTGGAGACATTGTAGGACTTCAAAAGCAGTTAATAATCCAACCGTAATGAGTATCTCATTGCATCTTGTCATCTTCAGAGTAGTTGCCTCCACTCCTAGACTTGATACTATCAAGCATACCAAATTTGAATAAAATCAGTCTAACAAACCAGATTCAAATAAGATCAGTTATAGTAAGACAATGCAAGTAATATAGGGCTTCAGTTTAAGTTAATAGGAATTAATGATATTTACCATGGTATATCCTGCTATTTTTGGGATAGCTGTCTGTGCCCTGAAGTCTAGTATGAGTAGACAGACCGGAACAAAATATAATCAAACTAAACAGAGTGATAAGACTACTGTGGCTTTTAAATCCTGATACACTATTAACAATGTCCTCTGCCTTCCTTTTTTAGGCAATCCTTCCTTTTCCCTTTTTCAGGGTGCTTTGTATATTTTGGGTCCCACTAACTTCTTTAGTTTTTTAGATTAGGGGAGCAATCTGTTATCTATTTAAGTGGTGTTGAAACTTTTTACCACTGTCTGCCCTGTTCATTGAGGCCTCGCTGCCACTGTTGCTGGAATCCTGGTATTTTTTTTCTATCTCTCTGTAGAATGTCCTTCAGTATTTTTTGTAGGGTTGGATTGGTGGCCATGAACTCCCACAGTTCCTCCTTGTCTTGGAAACATCTTGTTTCTCCATGAATTTTAAGAGACAGTTTTTCAGGGTATATCAATCTGGGTTGGAGGTTATTTTCTTTCAGGGCTTGGACTATTTCACTCCAGACTCTTCTTGATTTGATTGTTTGTGTTGAGAAGTCTGTCATTATTTTGATGGATTTTCCCTTATAGAAAATCTGTTTCTTTTCTCTGACTGCTTTTAATATTCTGTTCTTGTGGTGAATTTCTGGGATCTTGATTATTATATGTCTGGGTGTAGATCTGATTTGGTTGTAGTTGGCTGGAGTTCTGTATGCCTCATTTATCTGGATATCATTTCTTTTTCCTATGATTGGGAAGTTTTCCTTAATTATTTCTGTGAATAGCCTTTGTAATTCATTTGTGGTTACACCTGCTTCTTCGCTCACATTTTTTATTCTTAAGTTGTAGATCCTCTTGTCGTCTTCTAGGCTTTGTATTGTTACTTCCTGGTTACTTGTTATTTTTAAGAGGTCTTTTCTTTCACAATCACACATTGCAAATCTATCTTCAAATTTTGAAAGGCTAATGTTAGTTTCTTTGAGGCATTTTGCCAGCTTTCAATGGAGTTTTAATTTCCTGGTAATCTCTTTGGATCTGTTTCATGTATTCTAGATTTTGTTTATACTCTTCACCAAAGGTTTTTCTTCTTTTTCTGGGCTCCTCTATTCTTCCATCTGTATCTTCTTGAGAAGGGCTTAGCATTTCTTCTATTAATCTTTTTATATCTTGTCTCACTTGGATTAGAATTTCAGTTTTAAGTTCGTCTATGAGGTCACGAAGGTATTTCTTCATGTCTGCTGGTGTTGTGGCAAAATTGAATGATTGCTGCACTGGATCTCTTCTGTATTTACTTCTCCTGGACTTATTTTCCCAGGGTCAGTGGCTGGAGGCTTTTTCTTATTTCTTTCTCTTGTCATGTTTCTGGTTTCTTTCAGACAGGTGTGTGGTGGAGGTCTCAGGCCCTCTCCATATTGCTTATGGTTTTTCTAAAGCATGCTGGCTGGGGGCTTGCTGCCTTCCCCAGTTTGCTGTTATCTGAGGTGCATGCAGGAACTGTGGGCTGGCCCCTGTCCTCTGAGCCAGTCAACCGGTGAGTGCCTTCATCACATTAGTCTGTGCTGTGCCAACATCACAGGTTCAGGACAGTTTCATCCCTGGCTATTGGGTCCTGACCAGGGGCGTGACCCAGCCCAAGCAGATCCCACCAGTCCTCTCTGGGCCAGGGGCAACTGACTGATGCCACTGCATTTCTGGGTTCAGGCCTGTCCTACCCAACTCCAGTAGGTCCTCCAGCCAGCCCCATGTGCAGGGGGAACCAATTTCCAGCACTCACCATGAATTAATGCAGCTGTCCACCTTGGCTCCACTCTATGCTGTGCCGCGTCCTTCCGCCAAAGGCCCGGGACTCACCAACTCCCAATTTCGGAGGCTGCAGCTTCCGTGCAACCGTGAATCTTCTGACTCCACGACACGCCCAGCACGGCGTGGGACCAGTGCCAGTGAGTGTGTCTGGTTCCAGTCTTTCATTCATGTTTTTCCTACCTTTCTTTCTTTTTTTCCTCTCTCAGTTTCTTCCTGGGTCATGAGAATCCCTCTCCTTTCATCTGGTCTTCTCCATGTTGTTAAATTCTAGCATCTGAGTTGTTTTTCTCAGAGAAGCTCTCTACCCAGCTACCTATCAAGATGCCATCTTCAGAACTCTCCCCTTCCACTTTTAGTTTTCAGTTGTGTTTTGTCTTGTGTCTAGATGTCCCTCCAAAGCCTCATGAAGTCTCAATGGGACTTTTCCGAGGTGACTGTTTCTGGGATGTGTGATGCTGGGATTCCCATCTTTTTTTTTTTTTTCTACTATCTTTTTAAAAAATCCTTTTTCCTTACTTTTCTTTCCCCCACTGCATCCCTCGTTCATCTTTCCATTTGAACAAGTTCTTTACTTCCCAATATCCATTCTCCATTTTGCTTCCTATTTATTCTTTGAGTTCTCACAAAAAAGAAACAATGTAATAAACTTGCATGTCTGGTTTATTTCACTTAAAATTATGGTCTCGGGGTGCATCTGTTTATCTAAAAATGTCTGATTCATCCTTCTTTATGGCAATGTAGTATTCAATTGTACATTAATACCACATTTTCTTTACCCATGTTTATCCTTTATTCATCTGTTGATGGCTCTATGGACTATTTGCAAAGTGATCCCCTGTTCCAAAAAGACAACAAAACAAAACAAAACAAATAAAGCAGCTTATTTAAATCAGCAAAAGTAGGAAGTGGTCTAAGGGATATACCTGCATGTATGTTTGAGTGTGTAGGATGGAAATTCATATTACTGAGCTTTTGTTGGATCATTGAACGGCACTGTCTGCAATGTCATTATATGAATGTATACTTTATATGCTTTAATTTTATAATTTGGACAACTGTTTCTAAGATGACAATATGTAACCTATTAACAAGTGATATCTTACTGTATTTTTTTTCTTGAAATTCTGTATTATTTGTACCCTTTTACTGCTATGTTTTTTTTATTTCCTTTCTTTTTTTTCTCTTTAAATAAAAATAAATAAATAAATCAGCCAAAGTAAGATGGGAGATGGAAAAGAAAAGTAAGGGAAACAAGATGAGTGTGGAAATAGGAGGAAGGAAAAGAAAGAAATTTAAAATAGGAATGAATATTATATATTATCCTTAGTATTTTTAGTATTTTCTGACTTCTAGTGTATACATACTGGCCCCTTGATCTTGGAATTTAAAATTGGCTTTGTTTCTCGGTGCAGGCTTGGGATTTTATAGGCCTCATCCAGAAAGTGCAAGCAGCCAGGGAGCCTCAGTGTACTGTGTGTGGCTTGCTGAAGGTCTGCCCAGCATACTCCACCCAGCCAGGGAGCCTGTGTGTGTTGCTTGGGACCTGCTAATGCCTGCCTAATGACCCACCACTCAGCTGGGAAAACCCCATCCAGTATGGACAGCCATTGCCAACTCAGGAAACAACTGTAAGTTTGTATTCAGCTGCCCCTGAGGAACACAAGAAAATGACAAAGCAAAAGAGAAAAATGCAATCTCAAGCCACCAGTCCATCCCAAACAAGTCCAGGAGACATAGACATAGAAGAAAGTGTAAGTCATATACCTGAAACTTTGAAATCATTGCAACTGAAATAAACAACTCCATGAAGCTGTAAGGAAATCAGATAAGAAATAATCTCCAAGGTAAAAAAAGAAATTATAAACACAATGAAAGAAATGAACACATCTAAGGAAGACAAAGTTAAAAACATAAAGGAGCACTGGAAAGCAATGAAAACCTTGAATGAACAATATAAGAAAGAATTAGAATGCATGAAACAGATTCAAAGAGATATCCAGGAAATCAAAAATTCCATCAAAAGCTGGCAAAACTGCTTGAATGAGTGGGAAGATAGACTTTCAGACCTTGAAGACAAGATTGTAGCTAGTGACCAGGTAAGGAAAGATCTCCTAAACATAACAAAGAACCAGGAAATAGTAATTCAGCAGTTGCAAGATGATGTAAAGAAAAACAATATAAGATTGATAGGTATAAATAAAAAAGATGACAATACAAATGATATAAGGAAGACTATTTACAGAAGTAATAGCAGAAAGCTTCCTAGGAATGGGAAAAGAGACTGACATACAGATAAGTGAAGCATACAGAATTCCGATTAGCCATAACCAAAATAAATTTATGCCCAGACATATAATAATCAACATCCCTGAATTTCAGCATAAGAACAAAATATTAAAAGCTGTTAGAAAAAAGAAACAAATAACCTACAAAGGAAAGCTCATCAGAATCACAGAAGACTTCTCAACACTAAATAATGAAGTCAAGAACAGCATGGAGTGAAGTATTTCAAATTCTAAATGAAAATGACTCCCAACCCAGATTGATGTACCCTGCAAAACTATCTTTCAAAATCGATGAAAAAAGGAGATCCTTCCATGACCAAGAACAACTGAATAACTTCATGACCACCAAACCAACCCTATAAAGAGTACTGAAAGATATTCTAGATAGACATAAAAATAACTACAATTTCAAGAACAACAACAAAAAACAATCACCAAGCAGGGCAGAAAATTAAAGAGAGGAGAAAGGTAAAGAACTAACAGCAGAATGATAACATGACAAAAACTTGTGAATCTATATCACTTACAACTGTTAATGTAAATTACCTCAGTTCACCAAGTAAAAGAAACAGACTGCTAGAATGAATCAAGAAACAACATCCAACCATATTCTTTATATAAGAAATCATTTAACCCCAAAGGGAAATTCATAGACTGAAAGTCAAAAGATGAGAAGCAATACTTTTTGCTACAGGAACCCAAAGAAAGGCAAGAGTAGCTATTCTGTTTGCAAACAATGTGAACTTCAAAGAATGATCAAAAGAGTTAAAGAAGGATACTAAATACTGGTTAGGGGAAAACTTCAAGAGGAAGACATTACAATCTTAAATACACATGCACCAAATAAGGGAGCACCTGCCTATATTAGATAAATATTAATAGACATGAAAAATCAAATAAGCAATAATATAGTTATAACAGGAAACCTTAACATCCCACTGTCACAAAAAAACAGATCAACCAGACAAAAAATAAGCAAAGAAACAGAACTGAACAAACTTGTGAGCAAATGGACTTAGTAGATGTGCACAGAATATTCCACCCAAGAACATCAAAACACACATTCTTCTCAGCTACACATGAGAAATTCTCTAAAGTAGACCCTATACTAACCCATAGAAATGCTTAAGTAAATGCAAAAGAATTGAAATTATCCCATGCATATTATCTGATCATAGTGTCATGAAACTAGAAATTAAGGACAAAAAAAACTGCAAAAGCTCCATAAACACATAGAAATTAAATAATACTCTCCAGAATAATCAATGGGTCACAGAGGAAATTAAAGAATAAATTAAACAATCTCTACAAGCCAATAAAAATTCAAATACAATTTACTGGAACCTGTGAGATGCAATGAAAGCATTCCTCAGAGGGAAATCCATTGCAGTGAACTCACACACCAGGTAAACAGAATGAGCACAAATAAACAACCTTATGCTACACTTCAAACATAGAAAAAGAAGAGCAAGTCAAGCCCAAAGCCCAAATAAGGGAGGGAATTATAAAGATCAGAGCAGAAATGAACACAATTGAGACTAAGAAAACATACAAAGAATTAACGAGTTGAAGTGTTGGTTCTTTGAAAGAATAAATAAAATTGATAAACCCCTAACCAATCTTATCAAAAAAAGAAAAGAAAAAACTCAAATTCATGCAACAAGGAATGAAAAGGGTGAAATCACTACAGACCTTGTGGAAATACAGAAAATCATCTATACCTACTTTGAAAACCCTTACTCTGATAGGTTTGGTAACCCAGCAAAAACAGACAGATTTCTAGAAACATATGAATTACCAAAGCTGAATCAAGATGATATAAAATTGCTGAATAGCCTAATTTCATGAAATCAAAAATGTAATTAGAACCATACTGCCTGTGGCCCCTCCAGGGGGAGAACCACCAGCATCTTCTGAGATACATGCCATGTTGGAACTTAGGATGCTGGGAAACCAAGCAACCAGCTTGCCTCCCTGGTAAGCAGCTGTGGTGTTGCAGGATGCAGCCCCTCCAGAGGGAGAACCACCCAGCATCTCCCAAGATCCATGCCATGTTGGAACGTAGGGTACTGGGAAACCAAGCAACCAGCCTGCCTCCCTACTAAGCAATAGTGAGCCTACCGGTTCATGGGCTGAGAGTCAAACATCCCACTTCCGCTGCCCCCTATTAGCAAATGGGAACCAAAGATCGGAGTGTCCCTTGGGAGGTTGACCATATGCAATATAGCAAATAAGGGGGATTTTCTTCTACCATCTCTTTAAGGCAAATATTTTTACTACTGTTTTGCTTTATTCTGCGCTACTCAATATTCTGTTTTGCTAAGTGCTATAATGTTCTTTATTTCATTTTATTTTGCCATACATGATTGAAAGAACAACTATTGTGAAGTTAACGAGATATATTGTGATACCTATTACTGTTATCCTGGTAACCTGCTGTGAAGTTCTGTACCAATTTCACTACACTGTCTCAATTGGCTTTGTTCTGTCTTGTTCTGTGGTATTTTACTACCTTAAAAATAAAAAATAAAAAAATAGAACCATACTAACAAACCCAGGTCCAGATGGATACACAGCTGACTGCCAATAGTCCTCAAACTCTTTAATGAAATTGAAAGGGAAGCAATTTTCCCTAACTCATTCCTGGAAGCAAGTTTTACTAACCAGAGAAACCAGAGAAAGATCTAATCAAAAAGGAGAACTATAGACCAATCTCCCTAATGATTATAGACGCAAAGATGCTCAATAAAATACTGGCAAACAGAATGCAGCAAATCATCAAGAAGATTATACACCATGACTAAGTGGGATTTATCTCAGGAATGCAGGGATAGTTCAACATGTGCAAATCAATAAATGTTATACACTATCACATCAACAGAGCCACAGACAAAAGTCAAACGATCATCTCAATGGATGCAGAAAAAGATTTGATAAAGTTCACCACTCCTTTATGATTTAATAAAACTATGGAAAATTGGATCAGATGGTCTTTACCTCAATCTAATAAAGCCATCTATGTTAAACCAACTGCTAACATCCTAGTAAATGGACAAAAACTGAAAACTTTCAACCTAAATGAGGAACAAGATAATGATGTCCATTGTCACCACTCCTATTCAGTATAGTTCTACAAACATTAGCCAGAGCAAATTAGACAAGAGAGAGAAATAAAAGGAATACGGATAGGAAAAGAAAAAATTAAATATCGTTATTTGCAGGTGACATGATACTCTACATAGAAGACCCCCAAAACTCCACTGAAAGTCTTCCAGATCTGTTAATCAAATTCAGTAATGTAGCTGGACACAAAGTTAACGCTCAAAAATCAATAGCATTTCTCTATACAAACAACAAACCCACTGAGAAAGAAACCGCACCTTTCATAATAGGATCCAAAAAATGGAATACTTAGAAATTCATCTAATAAAGCAATTAAAAGATATATACATTGAAAATCATATACCCTGAAAAAAGAATTTGAAAAGGATCTCAAAAAATGGAAAGACATTCCTTGTCCATGGATAGGAACAATAAACATTGTGAAAATGGCCATTCTGCCAAAATTGTTATATAGATTTAATGCAATTCCAATCCAAATACTATTAGCACATATCACAGACTTAGAGAAATCATCCCTAAGATTCATCTGGAATGGAAGAGACCTAGAATAGCAAAGGGAATCCTGGGTTACAAAGTCAAGGCAGGAGGGATCACAATCCCCGATTTGAAATTATACTACAAGCTATTGTCATAAAATCAGCATGTTTCTGGAACAAAACCAGACCTGAAGACCAGTGGAATAAATTAAAAGATGCAGCCACAACTACAAACACCTTCAGCCACCTTATCTTTGACAAAGAAGCCAAACATGTTCACTAGAAGAAAGATAGCCTCTTTAACAAGTGGTGCTGGAAAAACTGGCTCTCCACATGCTGAAAACTAATACTAGGCCCCTGTCTATCACCATACACTAAAGTCAAAATAGATCAATGATCTAAATATTAAAACAGGAACACTAAATCTTCTGGAAGACAAAGTAGGTGGAAATCTTGAAGACATAGAGGTAGGCAGAGAATTTATGAACAAAAATCAAATGCACTGGAAATACTTCCCAGAATCAACAATTGGGATCTCATCTTATTAAAAAGATTTTGCATGTCAAAAGAAATCTCCAATAGAGTGAAAAGAAAACTCACAAATTTGGAAAAAAATCTTAGTCAACTGTCCCTCAGACAAAAGACTTCTATCTAGAACACATAAAGAATTTTTTAAAATCAGGCACTCAAAATTCAAAGACCAAATCCAAAAATGGGCATCTGAGATGAATACATACTTCTCAGCTGTAAAAGTAATGTGACATCTTTATTAGTGATTAAGCTTAATGTAATCAGTAACGTTGAAGGCAGCTGGAGCTCTGGATTTTTAAAAAATTTCTAGAATATAAGCAATGCAAAAACAAATTACAAGTCTATTGATACTGCAGACCCCACCTGCAGTATATCACAATGCCCACATCTATTCCATCCAAAATAGGTGACTTCAAAGAACCCTAGGAAATAAAATACCTTCGGACAGTACTAACAGAAACTTATTCTATTTGAAAATATCTTGGGTAACAGTCTTGTTAACCTGCTATCCCAATATGCTATATCACAATAAAATGATCATTCAAAATGACATGGATGAGCACATATATAGTCTGCTATAAAATCCACTTTGAGATTGAAAACATAATTTAATCCTTCACAGTTCCCTCTCTTATCATCACTTTGCCTTGGCCAGGGTAGATACTTACACTTTCATGTTGAACATTCCCAGTGAAACTCTTGCTTCAGTGAAATGAATGTCCGCCTGCTGCTAGTTTTGCATCTGAGTTTCGTGCATACTTGGAAACGTGTCTGGTCGGGTTTCAACCATTTCCATCTAGCCGTATCAACACCTGGCCTGGGAAAGAAATTCAGTAGCCCTGTTTTTGCTTACTTCTGAAGAGTTCCTCCTATCTTCCTCTCCTTCCTAGTCCTCTGCCAGTTCCAACCTGGAAATTCAGACTGAAGTTCTGATAAGGAAGAATCTCATCCCCCAGCCCCAGCACGCTGAACCTTCCTTAGCAGGACACCATACTGATGCTGCCTTGGGAGAGCCCCAAACAGGTTCCCGGAGTTCATCACACCTGCAGGCCTGAGGGCATACCACTGGACAGAACTGTTGTTCCCATAGACATCTGTCTTGAATCACATCCATGACCTTGGTGATGCCTGGCTCTTGACAATAATGTGTGCTGGCAGTTTTGAAGTTTCAGAATAGTCTATTGGCCAAGGTCTCTTTCCCTATCTCTCTCACACCACACTTTGTGAGGAGCTATCAAGTCAAGCTAACATATTTCGAGTTTCGTCCAAAGCCCTTTCTATCCCTAGGACCCAGATGTAAATCCCTGGGTGCTAATGAGAGACTGGCACAAAATTGTGTCCCAAATTACTTCTCACACTGGTAATGAGGGCTTTGTGACAGCATCAAGGTGGTTGTGCCTGTTTTTTTCTTCCCTTGCAATGAGTTATCTTCTAGGAAGTGTTTTCATCTCTCCAAGCAGTTTTATGACCCCAGGCTTTCTCTTTTCCAAACATGACTGTGGAGTCTGAATTCCAGGGGTGGCCACATCTTTGTCTCAGGAGATACTTCTTTGACTCTGAAAAAAAAAAACTCTATTTGGGATTTAGAATGAGATGGCTCATTCTTGATCAGTGACAGGTGGATATCTCAAGGACAAATGAAGAAGGCAGAAGGAACTAAAGAGCCCGAGATAGTTCTCAAACTACAAAAGCTAAATTAAATCTAAGAAAATGAAACTTAGCGTGTTGCTCTCATTTCAGAGAGCGTCAGTTGGTGGTTAAAGTGTATATGTGTGTGTGTGTGTGTGTGTGTATATATATATATATATATATATATATATATATGTATATATATATACATGAATATATATACATATATATGAATATATGTACAAATGTATATATGAATATGTATTAATGGCCTTTGATCATATATATAATGGCTTTTGATACAATTTATATTTTATAAATTTTTGCTCAATTTTATACTAAACTTATAGGTTACTTTTAGCCAATTTGCAAATTTCTTTTCTGAGTTATCCCAGGAAGATTAATTATAGGCCTTAAAAGTAATTGAAGTATTTCTGTGCAACTTTAAAAATCTACCCAAAATTCAAATTCTGAGAAATAATATGTTCTTTTGCAACACACACACACATACAAACACTAACAGAATAACACACACAGAATATCCCACGTACATGCATATTATAAAATATAGAGTTGTTAGAGAACATTCTTGGGATTTGGGATGCTCACTAATCTCCTGTTGTTCCCCTCTAACTAATGGGAGGTCACAGAATGCAAGCAGAATCAGGAGGGACAGTGTGGCTCCCTTCTGCTCCAGAACTTTTGGCTTCCCCTGCAGTCACGGGCAGTGCAGCTGGAGAGTTTCAGACAGCAGCTTCCCTTCCAGCTGACCTCGCCACACAAGAAGGTGGAGCCCAGAGGATGCAGAGACATGAGCTGCTCTCTGACGTTGGCTCCGTGGCTACAGGGGCTCTGTTCAAAGCCTGTTGGACTTTCCGTCTCGCTAGCCAAGAAAGTCTGCACCTTTTTCCAAAGAGAGGGGCTAGTGAACACGTCAAAAGAATTGAAAAATCTTCCTTGCTAATGTACACTGGAAATGACAGACACATTGGTAGAAAAGGGACATTCTCATTTTAGGCATTTAAAATAGTTCAAGGAAAAAAAATTTCTCTTTACAGGACAGATAATGAAGACACAAGATCAGTTTGAATATTTTATGTAAGATAATGGAGAGTCAGATAAGTGGAAAAAGACCATTTTAAAAGCAATTGTAGTGTTAAAAAAAAAAAACTATCTGAAGCACCCTATTTTTTTGTTGGTTTTTTGTTTTTGTTTTTGTCTTTGTCTTTGGGAACAGGATCTTACCATGTAGCCCAGGCTGGCCTTGAACTCACAGAGATCTGCTTATTTCAGCCTCCCAAGTGCTGGGATTACAGGCATGGACCACCACAGCCAGCTGAATCATTCTGTTTTAAATTGAGAATTTTTAAATTTAAAATTCAGTGTGGATTGTTAGTTGTTAACGGGCACACACGCATACAAACACATGAATTGGCAAACCAAAGGGATCTCTGGGTGATGAGATTAAATATAACATTGTTTTCAGCCTTTGATTTATCTATTTTTTCTTAAGCTTTGCAGTATGTTACTTTCGTAATGGGGTGGGAAGTATGTGTGTGTGTGTTTGTGTGTGTGGGTGGGTGTAGGGTAATCTGATCTAAGAATGGAAATCAAGAAAAAAACAAACTTAAATCATCCCTGTTCTGGGGAAGCCTTGGAGACAGATAAAGCCTGAAGGATAGAGAGGCTGATGCCAGGAAGATTGAGCAAGAGCCTCAGTGCCTAGGAGATGAGAGCCTAGCGCTGGTCACACATCCCCATAAGACACATGGAAGTACACTCAAAGACCCCGCAGGAAATTAAATCACATAAGTGATGACAGCTACAGTCATTCGATTGTTGACATTGGGAGATGTTTACAAGTTGGGCTTTTATAGCCAGTGGATTTTCCCAAAATAATTTTACATGACACTAGTTTATTTTTCCTTGTTAAACATATCTTTTTAACTTAAAAAGTTAGAGGGAGGATGGGAAAGATGTTGGCCAAAGATTACAAAATTTCAAGTTCAAGAGATCTATTGTACAACACAGGGACTATAGTTAATAACAATGGGTTGTAAACTTGAAAATCATTGAGAGAAGATTTTAAGGGTTTTCTTCACCCAAAAATGATTACGTGATGTAATGTATACGTGAAATAGCTTGATGCAATCATTTCAAAAAGTCTGCGTATCTCAAAACATCACGTTGTGTCATATATATATGTTACATATATATCTCACATATAATTTTGTCAATTTAAAATTTAAGAAAACATAATATAGAAATGCATATTTATTTAATAACATATATGTGTCAAAAGGGTAGTTGTCTTGGTTGATTTATCTAAGGAAAATTAATCATCTCCAGCTAGAATCTCAGCCCTACCATTCACTATTGTATACTTGAGAAGGTCACTGAAGCACTCTGAGCTTTGTTTGCTTATCTGTAAAATAGAATTTACAATGCTTATTTTATATGGGAATCAAGAGGCTCATAGAGAATAATACACTAAAACACCAGGTACATAATACCTGAGTTCACTGAGTATAAAGAAATGTTTCCTTGATAAAAATTTACCCATTCATCTTTCCACTTTTAACTACTTTGTTTATTTGTGGTCTTGTAACTTAGGTTTGATATCTAAAGAAAGATTGTTGTTCCTAACAGAGCTCAGCCATCTTCCACTAAATTACATATTTTAGGTCATGAACAAACCCTAAGTATTTAAGCAAAGTAAATACAACCTGAAACATCTAGATATGTAACTATAGGTATTGAAAAATAAGCATTATTATGCCAAATTTGAACTGTTCCTCCTTTATTTTAAGAACAGAAAGAATATTGCTACATTATCATTTGTTCAACAAATAAATTTCCTCTTAGTAGTTGATGATAGAAAAAAATACTATTTATCCTCTAATATATATTTATCTTTCCTTTTAAAATATGTCCTTAAAATTGAAAGATGAATAAAATATATCAATAAATCATTTAGGAGATAAAAATCAGTAATGCAATTTTATTTTCATTGGAGAATATTCACCTTATAAACTTATTCCAAAAAAAAAGCTCAATCAGATATAAGTCATAAAATCAATTATTGAGATGATGTAGGACAATAAAATATCTGAATTTTAGGAAGTTTTGGTAGCCATATTCCTTTTAGTTTTATTCAGAACCATGAAAACTTTTATTCCGTATTTTTCTAAGTGTCTGAATTGCCTGTAATTATGTGAAGAGGCAGGGGACTTCAAGTACTCGAACCAATACAGAATACTTTATTTAAGATCTGGGAATGCAGGGGCTGGGGATTTAGCTCAGCGGCATAAGCGCCTGCCTTGCAAGCAGGCAGTCGTGAGTTCGATCCCTGGTACCTATAAAAACGAAAAAGACAAAAAAAAAAAAGATCTGGGAATGGGCAGCTCTTTGCAACCACAGATCCTCAATGCAGGAAAAGAGGCAACAACCGTACTAAAATTGGGATGACAAGAAAGAGAAGTGAACCATCACACCCCGTTTTCCTTGGTTTACTTCTGAAATTTTCACACACTCCAATGGTTGCATTGCTATTACTTATTCAAAAGAAAACAATTAAATTTCTTTGAAGTGGACATCACAACTTTCCATGTGACTTGATGGGAAAGGTCGCTCAGCAATTTTACTGGGGAGCAGGACCGTGGAAAGTGAGTGGCAGGATCTGGGGGCATAGTAGATTTGGTGAGGCCATGTTGGCTGTTCCCCCTGAGAACTAAGCCCACATCTGTAGGTGGACTCAACTGGTGACCCACGTGTTTCATACTAACATCCGCTACCACTAAAAAAAGGCCTGGTTAGCTTCTAATTCTGAGACCCTCCCACTGTTCTTCTTTAGCCTTCTGCAGTATCTTTGCCTCAGGAAGAGTTTGGATGAGAGAGAGAGAGAGAGAGAGAGACAGACAGACAGAGAGACAGACAGACAGGGACAGACAGAGACAGACAGAGACAGAGACAGACAGAGACAGACAGAGACAGAGACACAGAGAGAGAGACAGAGACACAGAGACACAGAGACACAGAGACAAAACTGATCTTTCTCTTCCAGGGATCTTTGAACTGTTCAAAGACATTGGAGTCCACAAAGGAGGCTCAGAATCACTGTGAATTTTACTTTTGTTCTTTACCATATTAGCACTAACCATCTCTCCAGCGCCTCCCCCATATCCAGCTGGTTGTTGCCCAAGTATCTCAGGGTCCATCCAGAGCCTGCTACGGTGCCCAAGATTCACAGCTGCTGATGCCCCTGGGGGCTTGTCTTCAGAGAGCATCTGTGAAAATATTCCTCATATGGGGCTAATTCATGATGTGATCTACTTGGATTAATCCAATTACCTCCAGGAACAGTGCCCTAAAAATGTTACATAGAGCAAAGAAGGAAAGAGTTGGAAAGTTCTGAAACATAGTCCAGAATGTGAAATAAAACTCTGAAACCACAGGCTTGGGAAGACCCTATGAAAGAAAAGCAGGAAATCTTTTGAATTCCTCTTTCTCAGGCGCTTCTTTACTTATTATTTTGGGATTATTCACTTAGCATTTTTTTTTTCAACAAATGAGCTCAATTCCTTTAAGCCAGCAATAGTCTCCCAGCTGGTTGCCTCCTTTCTCATGTACCATAATTCTGTTCTAAGAAGATGGATATGAGTTGTAATTTTATAGTATGACAATAATATTTCTCTTGTATTCTCTTGCCATACAAACACAAGGGCTATTGGATCATTTTTTGCCTCTGCATAATATATGGTCTTGCCATTCCCAATGCCAAGAGCAACTATGAATGAAATAAGCATGAAACACATCAGTTTTCAAAGCTATTAAAGCCATCAAGCACATTAGCAGGTCCATTACTTTATTTTCCTACAGATGCTTCAATAACAGTGCCCACTGTGATCTCTAGCTTTGAAGAAAATTT